ATATTACTCGACCCCTTGGAAAGAAAGGCACTATTTAGCCTTTACTGCCCCACTCCTCAAAAACTGAGCCGCATTTTGATCTTAAAACTTTTTAAGACTGAGGATTTGGGGGTGTTTCAACCCGTAGAACCGAACATCACACCAGTTTGGCATTAAAACGCTTGGCGTCCACGCCACAGGCGTGGCGCTGGCGCCATCACATTAGTTTTGTCCGCACGTGTAGCACAGGCTCACTCGCAACGAACCGATGTGATATTCATGTTCTACGGGTCAAACTACCTCTGACGACAAGTTTTCAGCGAATTTGGTGATCCGAGATGTTCTGGCGCCTTTTGGCGCCGGCACTTCTGGCGCAGGCGCCAGGCGTTTTCACGCTAAACAAATGTGATATTCGTGTTCTACGGGTCGAATTACCCCCGGGGCAAGTTTCTAGCAAATCTCAGTCATGGAAAAATTTCGATAAAAATCCGGCTCAGTTTTGAAGTGGGGCAGTAAAGGGTAAATAGTGCCAAAAGGAAAAATAGCTTCCACAAACATGGCTGATCTCCTTGGCACATTGAGTACTGAGCCAGTTTTGAAGACTTTTCTCACGATCATATGTTTCGTCGCCTCCTCTATCGCACCCATCTGCGAGATGTGTCGTAGGAAGAGCAGTGGAAATCTCACCTGTAAGCTGAAAGAATGAATAGGATGGGAATATTTGTGAATGACAACACTCAAAAATGGTGAGCGTTTTATGGGCAGCAGTAGAGGGTGACACCTCAGCACGCTTGTCAAAAAAAACATCAAAATAACTCTCAAATCATTAAAGAGATCATCATCAGAACGACACTTGGCCTGCACCTCTTCTTAAAATGTAAGAGTACATGTTTATGAATGTGTCAATAACAATCGTATACAGCGCCAACGTCCGACGATACTACATGGCCACTTGTCTACAGCCTTGCTAAACTTTATCAACTGTGGACGCCAAAGCACAAAATCCTCGGGGCGTTGTTTGGCAGTGAAGGGGAGGAAATACCCGAAGAGAAGAAGAAAGAAGAAATGTTGAGAAAACTGCTGAAATCAGGCCGGCTACTTGAAGGAGCGACACTCGATTGCAAGGCGGAGTTTACTATAAAAAAGCGGACAGAAATCAAGGTAAAGGTGGCCAGTGGTGCAGGGATGAGGAAAACCAAGACAGACCCGAGAATGGCCCCTACACGCCCCGTTGAGGCGAGTCTCATCAGTGTGACGTCTTCAACTATGGAACGCTGTGCTCTGCTTCCCTGCTGAAACAGAGTCTGCGGCTAGACTCCGACGCCAAAGGGATGGCTAGTCGGTGGGCACGTCGCGTCGCGAGCGTCGCCGATACGGCCCTCATAGGCCGCTAGGAGCATATTAGCGGCCTACCAGGGCCGTACTGGCGACGCTCGCAACGCGACATGCTCACCAATCTGGCTGCAACGCGCATTGTCCCACAACCTTGGAGAGGGGGCGGGGTGGCGCCTGCCTTCCCACTGCGTATATTCCCCATTCTTCGACCTCGGACCTTGGAGTGGAATCCTCTTTTAATGTAGCCACGAGTCAAAAACCCAGTGATCTGCAGCAGGTTTCATGCGAAACAAAGACCAAGAAGGTGTTGTCTAGCGGTAAAGGGATAGAAACGGAATTCGATCATAGGCTCATGAATTGATGTCAGAGTTCGCCGCGATTTTAGCGACTGAAACTAGTGATTTTGGTAAAGCACGAAAATCGCTGGTTCCAGTCGACGAAGTTGCGAAGTCTGACATCGGTCTAATGCGTCCTATTTAACACTGAAGGAAAACAATGCATAACCGACAAAAACCCTGCTTCCTCAGAACTGGCGAGTTCTGGCAGAACATTT